AGGGCGCAATAGTGGCGGGAACTAACCTCCGTTCTATTTGATGGATACACAGGGGTAACAGGACCCAGACCGTCAGATTGAGAAATGTTACTCTGGTGGAATGAAGTATGTGTGAGAATTTTTTGCACTTCGACCATGACGAATGAGTAGGTTAACAAACAGTGGCGTGGTTGATTATTGTCAGGCCAACTCTTTGAATATATAATATCTTAAAATGCCGCCGAGTAAACGAGAAGTTTGCCGGTGCCCCTAATTTGACCTTTTCATCCCCATCAGGGTAAAACCTTACCTTATATTGATGAAAGAAGTCTGGCATTAAGTAATCAAAAATTTACATTCATCGACACAGCTTTTTTTAAATTACCACACAGCCTTTCACATGCTGTTTTTATTTATGACCCAAGCAGCCAGAACGATAGTGTGCTGGTTGAAAACTAAAGCAACCATCATCACTGGTTGTTCCCAGTGGTAACTGTGCGTGAATTGTTTTCTATAGTGAATGAGGTATTGCGCCATCTACTGAACTGTCACTTCAAAGACCAGAGACAAAGTCATGGAGACCGGAGGAAATGGCTGTCAAACTGAAACAGCCTGTCTAAACCTGTTTTATAGAGCCTGGTACCTAGCTCAGTGTGCCAGACCTCCTCCAGGCGGTGCCCGGATCTCATGCAAGTAAAAGTGCTGTAGAATTCACCTTGAGAAGGAGCCATTGTAGCCTGTCACTCACACTTGAGTCTGACCAAGTCACCATGTCTGTTGACAAAAACAGACAAGGAGGCCATCATGAGGCACCGCTTCTGGTCCAGCACACAAGGCCTCGGACTACACAGATGTAAAAAGGAGTAATTGTGGCATGGCCCTGATTCCAACGGAGGATTGAACTATTCCGTCTGTTAAAATCAGCCTAAATCTAGCCTTCTAGTTTTTTGGGACAGACCCACATGCCCCCCGTCTTTAGTTTAAGGTGCTGGCGGATTGCCGTAATGAAATCTGAGAAGCCTAATTCTATTCTTTTGCTAGCGCACGAGTGGTCTGTCCGAGCCTTTCGACTAACTGACGGTGAAGGCGAGTGCAATGACTGACGTAGCAAAAAGCTCCTGTCTACTGCATGTCACAGGCACTTAGGACAGCAAGTAAAGTTGTATACAGACTGAGTGCAGCCCGAACTTCATATTATTTGAGCCGGTCGGGCTTATTCCGGTCTGATGCAACGGCGGCACAGAAGTACACACGGCATCGTGTGTAATTTACGTAACGAAGTAGCGCGCGGTTGGCGGAAGTGTCGTTCAATTGCTTGTTTCATGCAGACCTTGGCACCACTCTCCTGATAACGCTTGATTGTATTTGTGCTTTGGAGTTCGGAACGGAATATCAAAAACGGTAAAATCAAGTTTTAACTAGTCATAGTAGTATACTGTGTAGGATTTCAGAAATGCGCAATAACTTGTACTTTTAATTGCAGCGGATTGCCTATCTCATGCGATATCAACCAAATTCTCAAATATGTTTTAGATTGGAAAAATAATTTTAGTATAGTTGTAGTATTTAATATTGTCCTGCCCAATCCCAAGGTATTTAATAACCTTCAGGGTGCCGGCTATTGATTGAGCCCCTTGGCCGCCTGCAAGTTTAGTATGTATTTAAATCATTGATTTTCAAAGCCCTCAACCGTGCATAAAATCTCTTTTCTTGCACTAATTTGATAACAGAATACGTTTCCTTCGAATTTTATACATGAAGAATGCGTATCTTTTGGGTTTAAAACCCTCTTCAAATTCCTGGATGAATTTGACCCCGACTTGTCGTTACACGTTCGCTTAGGATCTCCAAACGACATGCTGTATAGATTCCGTCTACACAAATTCATGCATTTTTCTGCGCTATGCGGAAGACGTCGGATAGTGTTCACGAAATTTTGCAAGGGCTGAGGACCATGAGGTAATCTTAATGTGCAGTAGTAAACACGAC